TCAGAAACACAAGGTGGAGGCTCTTCTAACAAGCACCCTGACTAAAGGCAGCTGGGGAAGGCTGCATTCCTGAACGGAGAGATTTCTAGGGATAAATGCAGTTGAAGTTGAAGTTTCTGTGTTTATTTCCAATAGGGACCAGAGACAGGGTGGAGTGGAAAGAAAGCACTGTAATACATCATCTTCCATCCAAAGGAAAGCATTTTACGGGCTGCCAAACCATCCCTTGCCTCTGAAAGCTACAAACAGCTCCAAGAACTCAGACTGGATGGAGCTGCTGCCCTGGCAAAAACGTGCCTGGAACTCTGCGGGAGCCATCTGCTTCCTTCTCCCAGGACCCAAGCCAGGAACAGCCTACTCTGGGCGGTTGCCAGAGTCTCGGGCCAGCTGAGGGGCCAGAGTGAGGGGCCCTCTGGGGATGTGAGACCTCACCAGGCCCAAAGAAGTTGAAGAAAGGGAGGGAAAATCAGGAAGAATAAGTTTCCCATCAGAGGGTGACTGTGCGTGTCTGCTGGCGGAAGGCAGGAGGATGAAGTCTGAGGATTCTGCAGAGCTTTAGTAGAGAGGGCTTTAAGGCAGCATTGTTTCCGACAGGGAAAGCTTAGAAACTCACACTAGCTCAATCATAAGAGACTAAATGCATTTTGGTACTCCCTCTAGTGGAATCCAGTGTAGTCAGTGAATAGGGAAAAGTAAAAATTATCTAAAACTACGCATAGATGCTTAGGTATGTGGATAAGTGAAAACTCAAGTTAACGACAATGCACAGAATGATGACCCCATTGCTGTTAAACGTTTACCTGGTATCTGAAATTCATTCTTAAAGCATACCAAATGGTAAGAACTTTATCTCTAGAGAGTGAGAGGGGTGATCCTTTTTCAATTTTACTTTTCGCTAGTCTGCATCTTCAACAATACTAATAGAAGCACTGGTTTCATAATAAGAAAATAAAAGCATAAAGCTTATTCCATCGAATCAAGGGCCAAGGACACACTCCATAATCCCAATTTTTTGTCATGAGAAGGGAGTAAAGTTCATAGAAAAGGCTTCTATGTTTCGTTGGTAACTCCTGTGCTAGAATTCTGCAGGAATTCCTTGGGGTGGCAGAAGGGACACTAAGCTGTCACAACCTGGGTTTTGGGAGAGGACAAGGATGCTGTGTGGAGAGTTCTGGGCTGAACTCGATCCTGGGCCCTTGGTTCTGACTGCCACCCTAACTGAGCTCCCCAGAGGGGCTCATGGCAGGGCCGGATTACCCAGTAAGCAAGGTACACATGGTTTACTTGTGTGTACCTACCAAAGTTAGTGAACAATTACACCTGATTTTCACCACGCCACAGATGTGGTAAAACCCATGTGAAATGGTTCACTACAGATTAGTAAGTTAACACAAGTAAGCCCATGTGTACCTTGCTTAATGTAAGCAGGTGTGTTCCGTGTTTACTGGTTAATCTGTCTCTGCTCATGGGCCTCAAGGATGGAGGGGCAGCCAGGCTCAGGAGACACGAGAGCATGGGAGGCAGAGAGAAGAGCCGCACTTTATCCACTTCGTCTGTGGGGAGTTGGTGAGGGTTACTGGTTGGAACAGGGTCCACCTGCTTAGACAGTCTGACAACTCTTAGATAACACAGCACCCAGAGTCTCTTTTCACTGACCTTCTGGAACTGATTCTCTCGACGTGCTGGATCCAAACACTGTCACTGCCTCGCAAAGACAAGGGGAGACTCTCAATGAGTTCTTCATTGCTGACTCCTTGAGAAGCCACTGGAAGCCGAGTGCTGACCTGAAGTGGACGTCTGTGATTGTTCCTGCTCGGTATCCACCTCTTCATCCCCCAGGAACGGACCTCTGATGTTCCTCTGGGAAACTAACCCTCCACAACAGCTGCATCCTCAGAGGGACTGTGGGTAAGGCTCCTGCCCACTCTGGCCACAGGCAAGCACGTGACCCAGCCAGGGCTGCTCAGTCTCTCTTTCAGGACTCTGAACCTTGAGCTGAGAGACAAAGGGACAGAAATGGCTGGAGCCAGGCCAGTATCCTCATGGGGTCCCTGCTGAGAGCATCCCTGGGTTCTGGAACCCAGCCCACAGAGGAGCATGGTCTGTGTTCTTCTCACAACCACCAGTAGCTAGATGGCTTGGCCTCCACTCGGTGAGCCACTTCATGGCCTTCCAACAAATTCCTTTTCCCTCCCATGGTGTTGTTAGCTGCCGTTGAGTCAGCTCTGACTCATGGCGACCGCATGTACAACAGAATGAAGCATTGCCTGGTCCTGTGCCATCTTCACCACTGTTGGTATGAGCCATTGTTGGTGTATTTTGAGTGACTTCCAACCTGGAGGCTCATCTCCCAGCACTATTTTAGATAATAGTCTCTTGTGATCCATAGGGTTTTTGTTGGCTGGTCTTTGAAATTAGATCACCAGGCCTTTCTTCCTAGCCTGACTTGCTCTGGAAGCTCTGCTGAAACCTGCCCACCATGTATATATGCACGCACACATATATACTCATATATACACATACATACATACATATAATCTATACACTCTCTCTATATATACACACACACACACACAAACATTAAAAACATAGTTAACGTTGAGTCTGTTCTGACTCATGGCAACCCCAACTGTGTCAGAGTAAAACTGCACTCCATAAGGTTTTTAATAGCTGATTTTTTGGAAGCAGACTGCCAGGCCTTTCTTCCAAGGAGCCTCTGAAAGGACTCACACAGCCAATCTTTCCCTTACCATTTGCACCACTATACATACATAAATGTGTATATGCACATATATTCTATAATGTATGTATCTTTAGATACACTCTGTCACACACGTCTATACATTTTCCATAAATTTTCATATAATCCATAAAGGCTGACACTCAGCTGTTTTTGTCTTGTTTTTCCACACAAAGCCAGTGTGGCCCCTCCAGTGGGCTGCATGGCCCTGGACCCCTTGCTGGCTCTCTGTCCCCTCACTAGGAATGGGGACGATGAAGGCTGTCTGTGTGCCTGGCCTACAGAAAGCCTGTTCCCACAGGGCAGGAGACAGGGTCCAAAATGATCGTCTGTCCAGAACTCTCCCTTGAAGCAGCTCCCTCTCATCCCTGCTACCTGGGGCTCCTCAGGGTCACCCACAAGACTCCCTCCTGCTCTCCTCTCAGCATGCTAGTCCACAAGCCACCCACTCGCGTGACCTACTCTTTTAGAAGCCCCTCCTCCCCAGCATCACTGACTCTCCAGGCTGGTATTTCCTCAGCAGACAAGGCATCTTCTACCATCAACAGAACGTGGACTGCCTAAAGATTTCAGCCTCTTTCTTTTCACAACTTCCACAGGGTTCCCTTGCTGGGTGTCTTTGGTCTTTGGTAGATTCTGCTCAGAGCTGCTAATACATCATAGTCTCATATTGCCCTGCTCACCAGTTATCACAGAGAACACCATTTCTGTGGTCAAATCCAGATTCCTCAGCCTGGCATTCAAGATTGTGAGTCAACTGAATCCTTTGACTTCCTCTCCAAATCACTCTCAATTTACTCTTCTCACTGTGGGTTATTTACTTACTTCCGCATGAGCAACTCCCTTCATCTTTCTCTTCTCCAATGGAAAACCTCAGAACATGCACTACAGAAAACGGTTAACCTGAATATCAATAGATATATTGGTAAAAAAGTTCTGTAGTTAAATGTCTGGTAACCTTTGTTTAAATAAAGTGGATCATTTCTGCAGGAATGCTCACAGCCCTTAAGATGTAATGTGCACTGTGAATCTTTAAGATACAGTATGTAGTTTTCCCAAGTGTTTTCAGCTATAATTCTCATAATATGCTGGTATCTTGAAGGACTGATATCCTGAGTAATACACACCAGGAAAGAATGCTTTGTTACTTTGTAGCTTGCAGAAAGACTCTCCTCTTCCACAATGCCTTGCCCACGGACCTCCAAACTTCCTCTTCTTCTTCTTAATACCCTTAGCATTGAAAGTCCATCTCCAGGTCTTGATCTCTGGCCCAGGTTTATTCTGAGTCCCAACATTTCCTTTAGTTGAAATGTTATCCCACAAGCCCACAAAGGAGCATGCCTCACCCAGCACAAGTAGAGCAGGGGATGTGCAATCAGGGGAGTATACAGTCGACAATTCTCCTGTACTGACCACAGAGGTTGTCTTCCTGCAGCCACCGGGTGTTCAGCGATCCACAGAGGTGGGGCAGTGTGGTTTTTATTTCCCCAATACTTGCTTTTATCCATATGACATCTGGATACAGCTAATTTAACAAAATGTGTTGTGATTTTCACTCCCAAGTCAGGTCTGATTCTTAGTGACTGAAAAGAATGAAAGCGCAGTTACGATGAGCCAGGGTGAGGTCTTCACTCTTCTTTGAAATCAACTTCAGTTGTTTCTTTAAGTAATTCCAGCATACGGCTGTCCTTTCATTCCTTTTTCCTCCTTCATGCTTCTACTTGTGACCCAAACTGTACATTCCATGGGTGGATATAGAGAATAGGATTGGGTGAGATGGACTCACAAGAGCAGAAATTACAATAATGTACCCTTAAAGCAGAGATACCAGAGTACTAAGCAAACAACAGTAAAAACAAAGGTCTCTTGCCTGTAAGGTTACAAGATGGAGGAAGACTCTCCATGACCAGACACTTGGCGTTCACCATACACAAACAGGGAGGGAAGAGGGGAACGGGGGACATGGTCCCTAGGAATAACCAAACGTAACATTTCAGGCAGGGGAGGCCCTATATGTGACTTCACTGACTGGCCACCCTGCCGTCACAGCTCTGCAGAGTACTGACCAAAATTCCACCAGCTCGTTTCTCACGTTTGCCCTCCAACTGTGTCACACAGTGATGGGGGTTCGGCACCTTTGAAAATAGAGCAGCGTTTCCATCACCTGAGCATACTGTGATGTATTTCTGATATAAATGGGATAGCTGTTTTCTCCATCCCTTTCTTTCCAGTGACTCTCACACAAGATAACTGCACGCACCTTCTCCGTCTGCACCCAGGTTCTCATAGGAATCCCAGCGAATCAGGGGGTCTGCTGTGTTGTAGTCGACAATCACTCCGTGGTCATTGTGCAGATGCTCAGACCCTGCATGGGTACAGGCAGACAGTGTTAGTCCCAGAGACCCAGCACCTCTGTCCATGTGACCCACCTGACAAAGGCAGATGAGCTGGCCAGAGATGAGTGGTAGAAGTGAAGCATCTAGACTCACCGCCCCTCCTTCTATAGGTGACTGCATTAATCAGAGACGCTGTGTATTTTCAACAAACCCAACAACAGTTAAAACCGCTCAGGGGAAAGGAAAGTTGAGCATTTGTCATTTGGCTACTGTGTGCTGGGCTCTGAGTGTTACTTCTGAAAAACAAGAACACTTAGATCCTGGCCTAAATCAGAAAACAGGCCTAGAGGCATAATTGTGTCCCACAGCAGATGCGTGGGAGATGCAAAGTATATGCCCAGGCCCTCTGGACTCCCAGATCTCTGCTCCTTCCTTAAATCATCCTAGGAACACTGACATGCTTTCACCACACAAGGCTTACATCTAACTGTTCCTGCCTGTTCATTAAAAAAGGGGCAATTATTTTCCATAGCTATTAAAAACTGAATTAAAAACTTTATGTATATGGGCCCAGTGATGGAACTGAATCAGTCACCTTGATAAAAAAGAGACTCATTTCTTTTTCAAAGTGTTTTTATAAGAAAGGAGAATTTGTTTTGCTAATAAATACTTGCAGGCTACTGTGCTTCTAATTGCTTTGTTTTCTTTTTTTTTAAAAAAAAAAAAAACTTTGGTTGTTTGTTAGGGAAGAAGTAAACGATCAGCACAATCTCACGGGGACCAAGGATAAGAACTTCAAAACCACCAGCAGGGCTTACCCCCAGTCTTGGAGGTTCCAGACACATCTCTGTCCGCACTTGGCTGAGTGGCGTGGGTAAGTCATGCCATCTCTTAGGAATCTGCCACCTTGTTTTCTCCAAGCCACCCCCTCCCCACTGCCCAATATTCAAAATTTCCCCCTATTTTTTATCATGAAGATTCCAAGCACATACAATGGTGGGAATCTTGTACAACCACCAACTGCACCCACCATCTTCACCCACCACCATCATTGTGTCACCCGTGTTCAGCTTGTCGACCCACCTTGGATCTTCTCGGGAGTGGCTGAGAAGACTAATTCGATTTTCCCATAGTCAGGAAAACGGTCATCTAAAACAGAAAGTGTATTTCAGCAAATTTGGACATAATGGACCAAAAAACATGGTATGGTTCCTATGGATTAATTCTGTCCTTATATTACAGCCAGTAGTACAACATTACTCCAAAATCGGCAATACACATACCCTGGAGCATAGAACGTAGAGGTAGTTTCATTGTTTTTCTATAATTATTATTATTTTTTCTTTGATGAGTCAGTTATCAGCTTTTCCTGAGGCTGATAATAATTTTGTCAATAGACTAAAATTACATGGAAGGGAGGGCTGGGGGGTGGACAGTGAAATAGGGAAGAAACAGACAAGCCAGCGTAAGAGCGCCCCCACACTCGCCGAGTGTGCGCCTCCTCCAGTGGCCTCTCCCCGCACGCAGGGCAGCAGGAGCCTCACCCTTGCTGGCGTTATCCAGATCCTCCTTTCCGAACACGAGCCCATAGCCCTGGACAGCGCCGGTGTGAAACTGCAGGCGGAAGATGATGTCGCGGGTGGCAGAGCGGTACTTCTTGTGGTAACACTTGACCTGGTGTAAAGAAGAAAACTCAACAGCGGACACTGCAGAGCTTGTTCTCAACCACCATCACCCTTTTATGGGAGCGTGCCCTGCCGTCTCCCACTTTTAATAAACAGGGCTGGGGGTTTACACTGTGGAGTAGAATCCTAATTCTGGGATCCCCTGGGGGTCTCTGCAAACACCTCGGGCTGCATACAGAGGCACGACGTTCATGTTATGCTGGCTGCACTATTTCATAGGATTTTATACTGTGCTTCTTTCCTTGTGTCATTTTAATGGAAACTACGTTCTGAGATGTCATGATTCTTAGCCTTCAGACGGGCCACACGCATTCAGATGATAGGAATGTGCCGTTTTAGAAGACACCTGGAGAATGACATTCTACAGCCCCTTTTGCTAAATTTTAACAACTGACTGTGAGGAAGGTTTTCTTTAATCTCTCCATGTTTCAACTTAAAGCCTTTCTATTTTCACAAAGGAAGAAGCAGCTGGCCATTACCATCTGTAATATGATAAATGCTTATGTGCATAGACAGACGGAAACAAAGAGGGAGACAGACAGGCAGAGGTATTTAATGTCACGTGCTCGGGTTGTCCAGACGTCCTGGAGGCGGTCACTTGGGATAAGTCTTTACCACCGCAGTGATTTAAAATCAAGGTGGTGACACCACCTCTTGGAGGAAGGATTCAGCAGGTCTTCCCGGACAGAGCCCAGGCCCCGCAGGGTGACTGTGCTCATAACCCAGGTGGGAAGCACCAATTTCAAGGACTTGGTACTACTGGAGGATTGGTAGGAAGAAGAACCTACCTTCCCCATCTCTGCACGGGGGAGGACTCCTGGCCCTCAGGTGTCTGTGAGCAGCCTGGGCCACCTGGAGGGACCCTAGCCGGAAGCATAACTGACTGGAATGAGGATAGCTGGGGCAATGTGCTGGAGGCACAGGGCCCTCCCACCCCCCAGACAAAGGGACAGAAGCCCCTGCCCCACATATGGTCCAAGACAGCAGGCACCTTTCCAGGGAGGGTCAGAGTCCAGCAACAGGTCCAACTCTCCTCTCAGATCAAACAGCCAGCCAGGTGGCAGCTGACTCCATTCCCAGTAAGGGGGGAACACTAGCAATTCAAGGGTTGAGCCCTTTCTGAGGTAGCTACGTTCCTTGAAAAAGACTTTCCTCAGAGAAAAATGGCTTAAAGTGTTACAAGCTTTACAAAAGTAAATGAGGAAAAACAAAAAAATTGCCATTGAGTCAATTCCTATTCATGGCAACCCCATGAATGTCAGAGTAGAACAGTGCTCCATAGAGTTTTCAGTGACTGATTTTTTTGGATGTAGATTGCCAGGCCTTTCTTCCAATGTGCCTCTGGGTGGACTCAAACTTCCAACCTTCTGGTTAGCAGCCAAGCATGTTAATTACTTGCACCACCCAGGCACTTTGAAATAGCTATAACCAGTATGATATAGATACATGATGCAGAAGAATTTTGCAGGTCAAGGTCCCTTATCCCAGTCAACCAGAGGAACTATTCCACTAAAGAAAAAAAACCTCAGGAAGCCAGTGAATGTGAGGACTGTGACCCTCTGGACAGATACGGAGCTGTTTATCTTTGTCCTATCTGCAAGGAAACAGCCTGATAAATAAATGAAAAAATTCCAAGAACAGCACCACGGGATGTTTCATATTGACAAACATTCCTGAGCACTCACTCCCGCTGCAGGGTGGAGGCAGGGCTGCTATAAACACAGAGCGGACCCGACCACCTCGCTGTCCTCCCAGACCGGGGATAAGGGCTGTGTAACCAGCCAACAAGAACGTCAAAGAAATGTTAAAACTCCAGTCTACTTTCCAACTGCAAAGGCACATTAACCACACATCTCCCATCTCTCTCTGGAGAACCCTTAAACCCCCTCTGTGCTCCCACACTCACGCCCACACTCACCACGCTGGCCTCTCCGAAATGTGCTGGCCTCTTGTCTATTTCAGTGGGGACCCACAGAGAGAGCCCCCTTCAGGGAAGGGGGTACACTCCACACACTCTCCCACCGACCCCCTCTAACCGAGGATGGCAGGCACCCATCTGCCAGCTTGCCTTCCTCCCACTGGCTGCCTTGGATGTGGGGAGTGAAAAGGAAGACAGAGGCCCAGACTCAAGCTGTTCTTACTCTCAAAACTTTATACTTAGGGAACCAAAAATTTTTTTTAAAAAAAAAGCAAGGCCATAAAAACTTTCCAGCCCACGAAGGGGGCAGACCCATAAACCCCCCACAACTTCAGTACAGACAGAGTGAGCTCTCCACAGAGCAGGGCATCTGCTAAGACATGGGACACACGCTGCCCGACGTAGTCAGGGAAGACTTCTCAGAAGAAGGCAGCCTTCCTGCAGGGACTTGACAAGCGGGTGGAGTGTCCAGGTGAACATCCTTGGGGGTGCAGGTGAGGCATTACGGCACCACAGGCATAAGCAGCCTCCTGGATGGGGGGGCAGAGGGAGGAGGGTGCAGAATGTCCACCTGGTTGCAACTCCCTTTTGCCTGAAGCATTTCACCTGCAATGATATGACCCTCCTTTCCTGCCTACTCTACGTTATCAAAGAGCTCATCCTGCTGCCCCCACCCCCCGCCTGTACAACTCATGCAAATCTGTGCGTAAACACAAACAGTAGTACTCCCACACATGAACTCACACTCGGCTACACACACTAGGCCAGGGAGGGGGCAGAAGTCTGCAGCGTGTGCCCTGGAAGAGGGAGAGGTGGGAGGTGGGATCTGCCCGTCCTGGTCAGTCAGCTCAGCTCCAACCACAGGCACCTCCCTCTGACTGGGATTCTAGGGCCTGAAGACATGTATCTGTTCATATCACAAGATCTCAAATACTTCTAGGGCTCAAAAAGGGAAGGATCAGGGATCTGTTGCAACATTACAGGACAGCCTGCTGCCCCGTACAAACATGACACTTTCCTAAGGGGTTCCCGTGGGTATTGTGACAACAGTGTTGCACCCTGCCCTGAGATCCTAACCCCTGAGTAAGAAAACTCCATTACCACCCTCTGCTTCACACTGGCCTTTCCCCACGTATCAGTGGAGGTGGACCCCGCCCTGCCCCAGTCCTCTGGACGGCCCTCAGGATCTGACGCCAGCTCTCCTCTGAAACACGTGGAAAGCCTTCGGTGTCTCCCTAGAGTGGTGTTCCTGGCAGCCCCCAACACCTCAGGTGTGGACCTTGAGACAGAATCGACCCACCAGCCAGGAGCGCAACCCCTGCCTTCTCAGGCAGCCTCCTCATTGTCTAAAGAGTTCTTATTAATGTCAATCAATCCTTTTTAGCCTTCGTGAAAAGAGATTCAGAAACGTACTCAACACGTAATGGAAAGAACCATCAACATTTTGCTCGATACAAAGGCCTCCAATCCCTCCTTTAAAGATTAAAAACTAATGATAGAATTTTATAAAGATGAGAATAACTGGAGTATATAATTTTCCTTTTATCCCACTGGCTCTACTGCTTTTATTTACCTACGTCTCTCCAGAGAGTTTCTACAAAGCATCGATCCTTTGCCTTCAGATTTTAAAATATCTTCACTTGCTAAAACAATTCAAGAGATAGTCTACCCAAATTGTCCACAAGAAAACTTCTAGAGCTAATAGACGAATTCAGCAAAGTTGCAGGGTACAAAGTCAACAAACAAAAATCAGCTGAGTTTCTATACACCAGCAGTGAGAAATCTGAAAGGGAAATTAGGGAAACAATTCCATTTACAACAGTATCTAAGACAATAAAATACTTTGAATAAATCTAACCAGGGACGTGAAGGATTTATACAATGAAAACTATAAAACGCTGCAGAAAGAGATTAAAGGAAAATTAAATAAATGGAAAGATGGTCCATGTTCATGGACTAAGACTCAGTATTGTCAATATTACCCAAAGCAATTTATAGATTGAACGCAATCCCAATCAAAATCCCAATAGCCTTCTTTATAGAAATAGAAAAACCAATCCTCAACTTTATATGGAATGGCAAGAGGCCCCAAATAGCTACAGTAATGATGAAAGAGAAGAACAAAGTGGCAGGACTTACACTTCCTGATTTTAAAACATACTATACAGCTACAGTAATCAAAACAGCTCGGTATTGGGTATAACAATAAAACCAAAACCAAACCTGTTGCCATGAAGTTGATTCCAACTCACAGCGACCCTACAGGACAGAGCAGAACTGCCCCATGGGGTTCCTAAGGATTTGATGTTTGCAGAAGCAGATTGCCACATCTTTCTCCTGTGGAGCGGTTGGTGGGTTTTGAACTGCCTGCCGACTTTCGGTTAGCAGGTGAGCGCTTAGCCACTGCGCCACCAGGACCAATGGTGGCAGAATTGAAAATCCAGAAATAAACCCATATATCTATGGTCAACTGATTTCTGACAAGGGTGCTAGCTCCATTTGATGGGGAAAGAAAAGTCTCTTCAATAAATGGTGCAGGGAAAATTGGGTTTCTACATGCAGAAAAATGAAACAAGATCCATACCTCTCACCATACACAAAAACAAATTCAAAATGGATTAAAGACTTAAATGTGAACTAAACCATAAACTTCTTATAAGCAAAAGCAGGGGCAAAGCTGCCAGGCCTAGATTATAACAATGAATTATCTAATGTAACAACAAAAGCACAAACAGCAAAACACAAAGTAAATAAATGGGACCACATAAAAATTAAAAACTTTTTTTCATCAAAAGACTTTACCAAAAAAGTGAAAAGACAAGCTGGGAGAATATCTTTGGAAAGTATATATCTGAAAAGAATCAAATAATCAAAATATATATAAAACTTTGACAACAACAAAAAGACAAATAATCTAATTATAAAATGGGCAAAGGACTTGAATAGACATTTCACCACAGAGGACATTCAAATGGTCACCAAACACATGAAAAGATGCTCAGCGTCTTTAGCCATCAGAGAGATGCAAATCAAAACCACAGTAAGATACCATTTTACTTCCACTAGGATGG